CCAGAGGGTAATGGAACAGGAGAAGAAAGCACGTCTAGCAAATGATAAAGTTCATCTATGAGATCAGCTAGCCTTCTAGTGCCCAAAGGACCTCAGCTGAGACCTGGCTGTCCAGGTCCTCGTGTGCTCTGCATGGTCATTGCAATAGCCCTTCTCTTTGCTTGAGAAATAGGAACAGCTCAGACGTTGCTGGGTGATCACTAGAGTCCCAGCACTGTTCTGTCCTGGGGAAGGGTTCCTGGTTTGTCAGGCTGGGGGAGGTTCAGAGAACATCATGCCTGTTGCCTACCCACTGCATTGCAGGAAAAAGACCCCAGCATGCACCATATTTTACAGAAGCTCAGGTCAATTCCACAGGGAAACCAACTTTTCTGAATCGTCGAATGACATGCAGGAGGTTAGATTTGGGGGGGGGGGAGGAGAATAGGGTAAGAGAAGGTGGATTGTGGGGCATGGCTCCTAGGGAAGAAAGAGATGAAGAAGAGAAAGTGAGATGAATGCTGGGAGATGAAGGAAAAGGAGGATCATGTGGAACAGAGGGATAGGCCAGGGCTGGGAGTGGAAAGGGAGGCAAATGTACACTTTGTCAATATAGATTATTTTGCTGAGAGCTGCTGATAAAAATGCTGGTTGTGATGGTGACACAGACAACTCACCCTGGTACAAACACATGCGCATACCTGTCTATGTAATAACCAGCACAGCCTCCCACTCTCCTTGCTGAATTACCCCAGAAAGTTACTGGATTTTCTTTGGAAAGGCCAAGGCACTGTCTCTCCCCTGTCTGTTAGTGCAACCTCATCCCTGCTAGTCACTTCACCCCTCTTCCCTCTCCTTATTCAGCATTCATGGTATCTGAAAGGGCTCACTCATCATCCCAAATAAGCGCAATGAATTGTTTTGTTCCAGTTAGGCAATGATGACCTAATAACACATACTCTTTTGAATTTGCAGCAAGCAGGCACTCATTCCATCTTCCTACCTGGCTGGGAGCACCAGGCTCTGTGCTGGAACTAGGCTCTGCTCCATTCGTGGTTTTGCAGAGCCCCAGTCAGGAGCCAGGAGTATTCATTTCATCCTGTGTCAGTTACCAAGGTGGCTGCTGTTAACGCTCTGCAGCCATGCTCTGCTTGGGATGGGGATTGGTACACACCTTGCATGTGGGTGGATTAACCTGTCCGGGGAATGTTTAAGCAAGGCTGTCCTCAAACTGGAACTTCCTTTGACTGGCAACACTGAACCCCTCTCCTCCCTCCAGCCTTGCCATGAGTTCTGGGGATTCTCTCCCTTACTTACAGGGCTGGCAAGCTATGGAAGATTCCCACCCTCAAACCTTGCTGCAGCTGTGGAGCCTGCAAGGGCTGGGAAGGTTGCGCAGGATTCCCTGCTCTCCCCCTCCCCCCCCCGCATGTCGTCTCTTCTGATTGGCTCTGGAAAGGAAGCACCCTGACCATTGGGCATTGCTGGAAGTTATTCTGTGCTGCAGACACAGCTGATGGGCAGTTTTCTGCCGACTCCTTCAGGATCAGAGGAGGGAATGTAGCAGTAATTCAAAGCAGTAAGTCCAGCCCATGCCCCTCTCAGCACCCTCCTGTCACTTTAAGCACCTTTCAAAGTAAAAAGGGGAGACGGCATCCAGCAAATCAGCCTGGGGCTCTAGCAGTATGCAGCCTGTACTTTGAGTTCAGCTGAGGTTTTGTTAGCGCGCGCCCTGTAACAAATCATAGAATACTAGGACTGGAAGGGACCTCGAGAGGTCATCGAGTCCAGCCCCCTGCCCTGATGGCAGGACCAAATACTGTCTAGACCATCCCTGATAGACATTTATCTAACCTAAATGAGGAACTGAAATGGAGATCTGCTTACTGTCCGACACCATGAGAACCACTACACAATGGGCCAGACAGCAGCAAGTAGGTTTTAACATTTCTGGGGTTTGCTGATGTGAGGGACGCATTTGTTTACCTGTTTATGTGGCTGCAGAGCAGCAGAGTTCAAAGTGCTAATCAGACTGGCTAATTGGGTATTGTGGGAAACATGCTGGAGGTCAATAAGCTGGACAGAAAAACCTAGTGTAGTACACATTACATGATTGTCAACAATAATGGGAGGGGAGAGACAAAAGCCCCTTGCGAAGGTGGAGGTTATTTGTCACCAAAACTGAACTTTTGTCGTCAGAATGTGAACGTTCTGGGTTTTGTCATCAAAAAGGGATTTCTGGTGACAAAACTTGCTAGTGTAGACAAGGCCCAAGCCTCTGTGATCGACTGGCTGGGGACAGCTACAGTGTAAAGGCTACCAACTTGTAAAGAAAAACAAATATGAGTAGTGTGTGTCAACATTGTTGGACATGATTTCTGTCAAAAATGGTAATTTTGTTTTCCTTATATAGTATCAAATACGAATTCTTTACTAGCTGATACCATTCAAGGTCATCTATTTTTCCTGAAAATTTCAAATGCTGTAAAACTTCACCACTCGCTTCTGAAATCTTTACCATCATGAGAAATTATCTCGAAGTGCACAGGCACACTTTACAATGCTACCAATACAAACTAGCAAAGTGGCAACAGCTGCAACCTGGAGAAAATGATAGTTTCTAGTCTAACAGTGAAATGGTTTGGTTTGTCCAGATTCTTAATCAGATTTAAACAAAAAACCCAGAGGTAAGACAGCACTTCACTTTAATCAAATTGTCATGAAAACAGACCAAATGTTCTACTAGGAAAGTTTTTTCATAAAATAATCATGTGCACGTGAAAAATCTTTACCTAAAAACTGTTAGCTAGAATGATGAATCATGTTCATATCAGAATTGTTTTTATCATTCTATAATAAATCATAGTTTATTTATGTTGGAAAGCAGATCTGATGCCAGTTTTCTTTCCCGAATTTCTCAGGAGCTACTACAGCCATGACTTTTGAAATGTGATACTTCTGTTTTTACCAGCCTTGACAAGTTCAAGGAAATGTTGTTCATCTTTTTCAGCTGGCCAGCTTTTCAAGTTCATCAGTCTCGTGCTTGTATGGGATCATTACCCTTGTTTTTTATCCTTTTTGAATTATTATTTTTCCATGAGTATGTGGACTAAGTACAACCCCAAATCCATGTGCTGCCTTTCCTCCCCCCTAACTCCCATGTTGGGTTCTGACTCTTTAATCAAGCTTTCGAATACATAAAAGGAAGGGAATTTTATTTTTTTTAAAATTGCATTGTATTAATTTTGGCTTCCCACTATATCACTTTCAGTCAATGTGACTACATTGTTTAAAATACTTTAAAATGCATGGTACCATAAACACAAGAAAGCTTAGTAAAATAACATTGAATTTTACTAACTACTGTATATATAATTTGCTAGTGCAAATGTCTTTCTGGCAAAAGTGCTGAAAAAGCAGGTATGAAATAGATTAATTATAATCTTGATAATGCAAAATTTACTCAATTATAAAAAATAATAAAGATACAGGTAGATGGTCCCTGAACATTCAGATGGTACTTAGGTTTGAGAGCAGCTTTTGAATATTTGTAAATATTTGAGGAAAACACACAATGGAGCAATAATGTGAACTGTGAATGTAGTGTGTAGTAACAGGAATCAGATGAGAGATGATCTGGTAAATTTGGTTACATGCGTAAATGTAAAGTCAGACACCATTAGCTCACTGTTGTAAAAATTATAAATCTTTTAATTGCACTGGGGTATTATTTCTAATGAGACAGAACTGAATTTGCAAGTTATTTGTAAGTTATCAAATAGGGATGTTATTGAGCTATTTGGGAAATAGCCTCAGGTCACCCAGCGTTACTTAAAATGGTCCAAATATTATGTGCCTTTATGTTGTCCAGTATCGAGAATTGAGCAGTCTGTGAATAGCTAATACTAAAGACAAATCAATTACATAGAAGTTACTTTTTTAAGTGAAAGGCTATTTTGTGTATACCCAGAAGAGCTGAATTCTTTGACAAAATCTTCAAGTACTGTTATACAGGAATATGACTTTGTGTTCCCCAAGGTGTCTCCTTATTTCCATTTTCATCACACTAATACCAGCTTTTAATTAACATTTTTCCCCATCATTTAAATGTTGCCTTATCTGTGGAGTTTATGCTACTAATTGGTCAGGTCTGTTCTAATCTTATCTTTTTCAACGGTCTTAGAATGTGCAGTTGGCCTCAAGAAATAATCAGTGTCCATTTTCAGCTTTCAGATTTTGAATTTTAAAAACTAAACTTGTGACGTTATCTTGGATGTTGAATTAATCTTCAGACTATCAAGGAAAATGTTAAAACAATCAACTTACAGTTTTTTACATCTGTCTAAAGCAGTTTTGAGATGAACCAGAATATTATTTTAAAATATAAAATAGTAGTGTTAAAACAGTAAAAGTTAAGCATACCAGTATTTTTAATGGTTAACCAGTTAACGGGTTACTTCCAGTGGTGGCCAGCCTTACTGGGCTGGGGCAGCTGTGGCTGGCAGGACCAAAGTGGGACCCCACTATCACAGCGGGCCTGGAATTGGGACCCCACAGCTGCAGTGGGGCCAGGCAGCAAGCCCAGAGTTAAAACAAACGAATAACTGTTTTCACATCCCTACTATAAAATGGGATCCATTCTCCACTGTCCTTAGTGAGCGATAGTTGCAGAACAGAGATCTCAAGAATGAGGGTAAAACAAGGAAAATGGGACCAGCCCCAGAAAGTCTGACATTTGGCAGAGGGACTTTCTTCTCATCTTTGGCAAAACGGATCTAATATGTCTTTAAAATGGATAGTCTCAATTCTTGTTCTTCTGTCATAAATTAAGTAATGCATAATAATAAGACAATATGTTGTAAGTACCAGTAAACATTGCTTAATTTAATTTACCCACGCTCTTAAGCTTATTTTAACATAGTGTAATAGAGGCTAAATTTAAAATATGGCGAATATTTACAAACAGTGCTTAACAAAGATCATGCATAACTTCCTTTTCATCTTCCTTTTTTGTCTCCTAGGTCTTCTAACGTTTATAAATTGTGCCTATGTTAAATGGGGAACAAGGGTGCAGGATGTATTCACGTATGCTAAAGTCATTGCCCTTATTGTCATCATCATAACAGGAATTGTTAAACTATGCCAGGGTAAGCTTATAAAACTAGACTTTGGTGTTTATCAATAAGGCTAGGGAATAATCAGCTTGGTTTTCATTAGGAATATTCATAATAACTTCAAAACAGTTTTTAAATTAATCTGTTATGTTAAATTTATGTAATACCAGATATCTATTTATGTAAAACCAGATATTAAAGCAATAAGGTCCAACACATCCATCCAGATAATAACTGGGCCAATGTTATGAATGAAGATCATACTTGACCTGACGCATCTAAGCAATTGTACACCTTTTTGTATGGAATGGTTAGTGGAATCAAAAAAACAAGCAGCAGATGTAGAACTTGCAAAATATGGTATTAATAGAGAAATAAGCTCTCTCCAACATCCTGCAAACAAATCATAGTATCATATTGTTAGGTTTAGTGAACCTCAATTTAAGCTTCCTGTTTGTAATCTGGATTTTGGATAAGATGTGCAATTACACAAAACTGTAAAATTGCAATACAGGCAGTCCCCGGGTTACGTACAAGATAGGGACTGTAGGTTTGTTCTTAAGTTGAATTTGTATGTAAGTCGGAACTGGTTTCCAGATTCAGCCGCTGCTGAAACTGACCAGCGGCTGACTACAGGAAGCGCGAGGCAGAGTTGCTCTGCCCTGGGCTGCCTGGAATCAGCCGCTGATCAGTTTCAGCAGCAGCTGAATCTGGACGCCTAGGACAGAGCAGCTGGGGCGCTGCCGGGTAGGTCCCCGCAGGGGCGGCGCTGCGGGGACCAACCGGGCAGCGCCCCAGCTGCTCTGCCCCAGGTGTCCCCAAGTCAGCTGCTGCTGAAACTGATCAGCGCCTAATTCCAGCAAGCCCGGGGCAGAGCAGCTCTGCCTCGGGCTTCCTGGAGTCAGCCACTGGTCAGTTTCAGCAGCGGCTGAATCAAGCACTGCAGGACCAACCCAGCAGCCCCAGCTGCTCTACCCCAGGTGAGAAAAGCCTGGTCTGCTGGGGGGCGCACTAGCTGCGCCCCCCAGCAGACCAGGGAAACCCGGACGGCGGGACCGTGGAGATGCGCCGCGGTCCCACCCGCACCCTCCCCAGCTTTGCTCCGTGTCTCCCTGGTCTGCTGGGGGGTCTCCAGGAAGATGAGGAGCAAAGCCGCGGAGGGGCTCGGGCAGCCCAGGCGTGCTTGGGCTGTCCCGCTGCCAGCTTCCCCCGAGGCTTTGCAAAGCCCCACGGAGGGGCTCGGGCAGCCCAGACGTGGAGCAGCTTTTCTCGCCCCGGAGTACACGGGCAGCGGGACCTCGAGGTCCCGCAGTCCGTGTCCTCCGGGGCGAGAAAAGCCCCGTTCGTAACTGCGGATCCGACATAAGTCGGGGACTGCCTGTACATCTCTTCACAGGTACTGGTGAAAGCACACTTCTGACGCTTAAAAGACTTCAGAACTCTGTGTAGATATAAAATTTGTATCCATATCAACAAATATGAGAGATCTGCATCCACATCGGTGGATGTGGATATAAAGTGATATCCGCAGCTTTGTAGAGCTCTACTTATATGTGTACCTCTGAAAGTGACCCTTACTGCATTTATAGGAGTATCAGCGGAGTTTACTTAGCTCCTGAGGTCTATTCTCTGTTGTTCAGCATTAAATAGTCTATTGTTGTTCTTTTTTCTTACTAGTCAGAATATTTTAGTTTGTCACCAAACTTGTTTTGTTTTTTGTTTTTTGTTTTTGTTAAGTTTTATTTGTGTATGTTTTGGAAGGTTTCTGTGTTGGCTTGAAAACCCAATTTTAAATTCTATAGAAAAAATGTGTCCTTATCCCAGATACTTTGTGTTTAGAGTGAAGTCAAGGGATTGTAATCCATGTTCTTTGCTTATTCTTAGGCACATTTTGTTTCCCACAGGCCCATATCAGTCTTGAGGGAATTCCGCAATTTTACTATGGCTCCAAATGCAATATTGTAGAATTCCCCCGGGACTACTATATATGAGCATTGTCGCAGAGTGTGTCATTTCTTCAGCACCAAGAACCTCAGCACTGTCAGCTGCTCCCCTGACCTTAATATGTTTACCACTAATATCTTTGATGCCTACCTTGTCCCCTGCTCCTAACATGGCTGTTGCTCCATCTTCCAAGTGTCATACAAGATACCGAGGAGGAAAGTGATGTTAAGCTTTGGCCACACCTTATAAACGTTTTCCCCCTACAAATAGCAACACTGCTGTAAAAAGTACAAGGTGTGTTGAACTATAGGTATATATTTGTGCATTGTAACATACAAAATAGTTACTCACCCTCATGCAGTCAGTATTATAAACTGTTTATATTGCTACAGTTGTATTACTACTGTGATGAAATTGTCAGTACATGCTAGAAAAAAAATGTATGCCAAGTGGAAGGGTAACACAAAATATATTGGTCATTCCAGTGTTGATAGAACACGAAGATTTAATAGCTCGGAAAGGTTTTGGTCCAGCTATTTAATTACATTTTATGTTCCCTTAACTGCTATCAATTTGGCCCTTTCAATACAAAACTAAATTGGCCTATCTCTTAATACGTGCAAATTCATTGACCTATCACATCTTTTTATATGAACTTAAATGTTTACAATGTAATGGATTATAGCCTCGACCTATGATGGTAAATAAAACTAATTGAATCAATGAATACTTAAAATTTAAATACAAGTATTTATCCAGCTGGATAAATCTGCATGCATTTTTGAAAGTCATCCCCACCTAACACAAAAACAGACTTATTTTTGACACACACAGAAGAGATTCATAATTTGAGATATGATATGACCCATAGAATTGTACCATTTCATTTGTACACGTTAGCTTTAGCCAAAAGGATCCTGTCAAGGGTATTAGAACTATGAGTGAACTGTATTTTGGGTTACAAGCATATACAGTATTTCACTGTTCCTCAGTTCTGTCTCTTACAGTGAACAGGCCAGGTATTTAACTGTATAAGAATAATGCTCTCTGAATTTTCCATAGAGTGGAATTTTTACAAAATTAAATGCCCTGCTTATTCTCAAGGCTGTTACTGGCAGAATGGAAGGATGGTTCAATGAGTAATCTTGAAGGAATATCAGCATTCCTAGTTCTTAGCTTGTTTTGCAACTTTGTATATTAAATTAAAAACATTTTAACTCACTGTTATACCATTATGTATGTATGTATTTCTCTTCCTATGCACAGGACATTCAGGACACTTTAAGAACTCCTTTGAGGGATCTTCTTGGGACCTAGGCGATATTTCTCTTGCACTGTACTCTGCCCTGTTCTCTTACTCAGGTTGGGACACACTTAATTTTGTAACAGAAGAAATCCAAAACCCAGAAAGGTAAAGGATCCAGTCTTTCTTTAAAGGTGTTACTTCATTAAACTGGGACAGTTCTTAAGTAATTAATGTAGTGGCTGTGTTCAGTGAAATGTGTTCTGAGCTGAAAAGGAATTTGATTATCATAAAACTACTCGGCGTGGACACACCACTCTCTCAGTGCAATATAGGATAACCAAAACAGGCATATTAAGCATAAGATTTAGCTATGGCTGAAACACTTTAAAAATAAAAAATTACTATTTGATGAACAATCATTATTTTGAAGTTACATGGAACATTCTTTACAAATAGACTGAAATATTGTTGTATAAATGGCGCACAAAATGTTTATATCTGTGCAATTGCCATGACCGTTTCAAATGCTCAAAACATAATCCCCACATATAGGGGAATGCTGCTAATTTATATTTTCTTATTGTGTAACTCAGCTTTTAAACAGAAATGTCTGACAATTTTTACCTATTACAAGTACCTTAACAGTTAAGATTCTTATAGCTGAAAGATGAAAGAAAAGAGGCTTCCTTTTTTCCCAGCAGTTTGCCTTGTTTGAGCCTTCACACAGCAAAGGATTTTCCTTTAAGAATTGTTGTTGCAAAATAACAATTAGCAACCATATTTGTAAAATAACTAGATTTCAAGTTGCCAAAGTCTCTTTTAAACTGCTCTGTTAGTAAGTGTTGCACACCTACCCATAAAAGATTTTTCCATAATCATCCTCTTCTCATGCTTATCCACTGGAAGTTCTTGTCCACAATTGCATGTAAATTAGGGATGTTAACTATCTTGTATTTCTGTAAACGTGTAACTGCTGGCAGTCTTAGTGGTTACATGTCTACATGAGGGAAGGGAAAACGGGAGCCAGTGCTCATAGGGAGCTGGCTTAAAAGCTGTCCCCCCCCCCCCTCCCCCCCCGGCCCCCCCCCCCCCTTCCCTGAACACCAGCTCGCACCTGCTCCCCACCTCTGTTGGAGGCAACGTGAGGGAGGGAGGTGGTTCAATGGTGCTGGAACACGTGAAAAGCCAGCTCCCCGCATGCATCCGCTCTCACTTTCCACCACCACCACCAGCACAGGTTTTCATCTGCAGAAGCGAAGAGTGAGGGGGGGATTTGATAGCAGCCTTCAGCTTCCTGAAGGGAGGTTCCAGAGAGTATGAGAAAGGCTATTCTCAGTAGTGACAGATGGCAGAACAAGGAACAATGGTCTCAAGTTGTGGTGGGAAAGGTCCAGGTTGGATATTAGGAAAAACTATTTCACTAGGAGGGTAGTGAAGCACTGGAATGGGTTACCTAGGGAAGTAGTGAAGTCTCCATCCCTAGAGGTGTTTAAGTCCCGGCTTGACAAAGCCCTGGCTGGGTTGATTTAGTTGGGTTTGCCCCTGCCTAGAGCAGGGGGCTGGACTTGATGACCTTCTGAGGTCTCTTCCAGCTCCATGGTTCTGTGATTCTATGACAGGCCACTCCATGGGGGCCAGGGCTTATGGGGAGCTGGCTTTTAAGCTGTCTCCCCCTGAGCGCTCTCCCCCCTGAGCACTGGCTCCCGCCTCTCCCTCCCACCCCTGCACTTCTGCCTCTGTGGGAGGCAGAAGGGAGTGGGGGGGGAGCAGGTGGCTCCATGGCAGCTAGCAGATGTGGGATGCTGGCTCCCTATGCATATCAGCTCCCACCTCCCCAATACAGAGGCAGCAAGGGGAGGTGGGTTGTGTGTAGTCATTAGGATTGACTGATAAGCCCAGGGTTATTGGTTGATCATGTAATCGACTGCACACTCACATGCCTAATGTGACTAGATCCTTTGGCTTTTATCTTGAAGATTAATGCCCCTGAAGAGCCGTTTCAGCTTTTTGTTTCATTACGTGGCATGTCTGCATTTCTACTTCAAGCTAAAGTCACAGGTTCATTATAATAAGTATTTCAACTTACTTGCTGGTTAGGGAGACGTGCAGGACCAGACATTTTCCTGCTGCACTGCCCAGGCCCAGCATCTCCTTGGGGAAGTAGAGGGTGGGCTGCACTACCCAGTCCTGGCATGGTGGGGCAAGTGTCCAGTGGAGATTCTATGGCTGAGCAATCTTTTCATCTATGGTGTCTTGTTGGTATTTGCTGATTCTTACTACAAACCCATTCATGGTACGGGCTTTACTGGATGATTGAAATCTTTTGCTTGCTGTTGATACTTAGTGGACTGAAATAGGTTTCATTGCATCACTGCTACTAAAAGTACCTGCTCTGAAGTTGTTGCAGGTAGACAGTCTTAAGTCTCTTATGCTTAAATGAGATCTTGAAATAAAATTCAAAATTGATTTTGAATAGTCATTCTTCTCACCATGTTAATCATTTATATTTTTTTCAGCAAGGATGCAAATCTGATTCAAAGTTACAAAAAAAGCTAAAACTGACTGTGCTTAAGAGTTCACTTAATTTTGGAGTAAGCCGCATTGAACTCGCTGTCACTTCTGTTTTTTGAGAAAACAAGTATAGGATGGAGTTCCCTTAACATAACTCAGTTCTTCTTCGGGTGCTGTACCTGTGGGTGCTTCGCTGTAGGTGTCGGGTCATCCCAGCACTGCAGATCAGACCTTCAATAGCAGTAATTAGTTGGGCCGCACATGTGCACCTCATGGCATTCACTCCATAAAGCCTACATGCATGGCCTGATCCTCTTCAGTTCCTTTGTTACTGCTCTTTGTTGCAGACGGAGTTCTGCTTCTCTCCTCAGCCTCAGGGCCTAAGCAGTTTGAGCATATACTAGTTTAGCTCAGTTAGTGGTTTGGGGTTTTTTTTTTTTTTTTCAAAATAACGAGTAATCCTGTGGCACTTTAGAGCCTAACAAAAATATACGTAGTATCATGAGCTTTCGTGGGCAAAACCCACTTCTTCAGATGGGCTTGAGTGGAGGAAAAAAAGCTTCTGAAGAAATGGGTTTTGCCCACAAAAGCTCATGATGCTATGTATATTTTTGTTAGCCTCTAAGGTGCCACAGGACTACTTGTTTTAAAGTTACAGACTGTCACGGGTTGGGCTCCCCCTCAGGCTTTCAGCCCATTCATCATCGGGGTCGTCTACCCGTGCACCTTCCCTCTACCCGTGTTTCCCATCAACTAGTTCCGCTTTACAGTTAAGTTCGTGGCTCTGCGGGTAGCACACTAAGTCCTATCTTCGTCGAGAAGGTGCCTCTTGCAGTGAGGCGGGAGAGGGACTCGGGCCCACCCCCACTCCGGATCCCGACCCAGGACCCTTAAAGGCAGTGGCACCTTAGCACAGCTTGGTTGGTGGGGTGTTCCCTGAAACTCACCAACCCTCAGGGAGTTCATTCCCCATCCTGGGTCACTTCCTCCTCCTGTTCCGTGCCTCGGCTTGCTCCTAAGCCGCCAACTGGCGTCCCGGCCGTGTCATGGTCCTCCAGTTTTCTCCGGGGCACCCTACTCTCTTCCTGCCCTCTCTCTTCCTTCCTGCCCTCTCTGGGCACCTTTTGACCGGCCCGTTCCTCCTGACCCTGCCCCCTTACCGGGGCACAGTTGATGACTTCAGCGGTGGGGAAACCCCTGCCGGTGACGTCCCAGCCTCCAGCTGCCCCAGTATATTCTGGGCATGTGCCCAGCTGTATCCCCGGAGCCCGGTGCCTCCTATTACTGCCGCAGTTGGACCCATGTCCTCCTCACCGAAGCCTTCCCCACCGTTGGTGTGCAGGGGAGTTCGGAGTGCCGTGTGCTTCTCCGCATTGGAGCCCTGCGCCCCGTCACACAGACTAACACAGCTACCCCCAAGCCCTTTTTGGCCAGTAGTTGCTTACTTTCCTGTTCCCCCTTCTTCATTTAAAAAAAAGGGGGGGGGAGGGGTTCTTTTTCTCAGACCTTCCCACAACTTCCCTCCCAGTTCAGCATTTTAGCCCTCTGTAAATAGTTTTTTTTTAAGAAAAGAGAGAAACAATGCCTGACTCTCATGACCTCAGTCAGTTCCAAGATCTCTTCAAGAGGGTAGCTACCAGTCAGGAGATCCCCCGTCAAGAGGTCCAGGAAAAGCAACGACTTTTTAAAATCTTCCAACCTATGCTGCCTGCCAAAATAGCATTTCCCATTGACGAGGCCATTATGGAGGCCTCTGACGAGATCTGGCAGACCCCTACATCATTTTCTCCCAGTAAGCAATTTTCCTTAGTTTATTCTTCCCCTGCATCTCTCTTGCACTGCTTACACTTGGTATGTTTTCTTTTTTTTTTTTTCTTTACCCAGGAATCTAACTTCTTCAAAATAGTCTCAGATAGGATCGTTCTTATGTTCTGTGGCAAAAAGGGGGGGGGGGAAGGAATATAGAAAGCTGTGTGTGCTGAATAATGTCTTCCCTTTTTCTTTTCACTCCACTGTACCTTTCTACTGTTTCCTATATGTTGCCTCTCTGTCTTTAAGACAATGTCTTAACTAACTCCTCTGCCATGTTTGACCCAGGTACATAAGCACAGAACAAAAATAAACACATCCAGCCTGTGTCTCTTTGCTCGTGTGACTTGAGTCTGCTGAGAAACAGAAATTGAAAGTCCAGAATTTTCAAGCAGCAAGAGTTGGTAGTTAGGCTGGGTAGATTGATTGATTTTTTTTTACCCATGCTGTAGAGAATTAAATGTTTGAAAACTGGATTTCCATTGTCTTTGTTCTGTAGCTATAAGTTTTAATGTTTGCACTTCTCAAATCAATATGAAATGTACAAAATACAAAGTAGTAGTGTATTTTACTTTCCTGTAAGACTGAGTCTGCATTAAGAGCTGGGGGTATGATTACCATTTACACTTGTGATAGCTCTCATTGAGCTAGTGCAAAGAAATTTACACAAACTGGGAATGTAGCTGTGAATAGCACAGGCATCAGCAGCATGACGTAGCCATTCTGAGTACAAACCTACCCTAATCTTGTGGGCAAGCTGTATCACTGCATCATGTTTTACTGTGGGTACACTACCATTTAACACTTGCACTAGCTTTCATGAATCTAATGCAAGTATGTCATCACAAGTGGGGGAGATGCACCCTTGTCTCATAATATAGACATTAACAGGCAGACACCAGAACTAAACTTGACATGAAAACCTGACTTCCTTACCAGTTGTTGCCAGCACTTTCTGGTCTGACAACATCCGTGGTCCAGCATGATTTAAGTTAGTTGGATGTCCACTTATGATGGATGTGGCCAAGTTTCTCACATTCCCATAAAGTTTGTTTCCAGCTACCAGTCCTGGCTCTGTGTTCTGTGCTGTTGTTTAGCTCTATTTACCCCCTAAATGTCTTCTAAGAACCCAGTAAGCAGTGGAAGTGTTGGCAATGCTGCTAGACTCTATTGATTTCCCATGATTCAGCAAATTCTCTGGTCAGCACCAGTCAGATCCTGAAGGTGCTGGACTAGAGAAATTCAACCTGTATTTCTGATATTTGTGCTTTAATGTGATACGGTGGCAGATGGGCTGTGTCTAGACTGGCCATTTTTTCCAGAAAAGCAGCTGCTTTTCTGAAAAAACTTGCCAGCTGTCTACACTGGCCGCTTGAATTTCCGCAAAAGCACTGACTATCTCATGTAAGATTGTCAGTGTTTTTGCGGAAATACTATGCTGCTCCAGTTCGGGCAAAATTCTTTTTCGGAAAAACTTTTGCGCAAAAGGGCCAGTATAGACAGCAGAGATTTGTTTTCCGCAAAAAAAGCCCCAATCGCGAAAATGGCGATCGGGGCTTTTCTGAAAAAAAAAAAAAAGCGCGTCTAGATTGGCATGGACACTGTTCCGCAAAAAGTGCTTTTACGGAAAAGCATCCTGCCAATCTAGATGCGCTTTTCCGAAAATGCTTTTAACGGAAAACTTTTCCGTTAAAAGCATTTCCGGAAAATCATGCCAGTCTGGATGTAGCCTTAATGTATTGGGCAAAATTGCCTGCATAAACGATGCATAGAGAAGACTAGAAAAGACTACTTGGATCATTCAATCTGACTCTATAAGTTTTGATTGACTTCCTTTGCTTCAAACCACTGCTCTATAGCTAGGCCTGGAATGATTCAATTTTTATTAGGAAATACCAGGATTTCACCATACACTTGTAAATTCATTCCATTGATAGCTGACATTGACAAATAAGCCAAGTAGGAAAAATGCTTCTAAGAACTTACTATACTGTGATTTTATGGCTATTTACTTTGACACGCGATGACAATTTTAATGGTTATTAACCTTTTGAAACCGTGTTTAGTATTTTTAGTGTAATTGTCTGACTCCCCCATAATTTTCTGCAACTACAAAAATTTAAAATAGGAAAAATGCTTAACCCATAATTTTGCACAATTGAAGATGTGTTTAAAAATGTGTTTAAAAAAAAAAATTAAAATTATCAGTTGAAATTTAATACTTTTTAAAAAGCTGTAGAAGTTTCCTAATCCTATCCAAATCCTATAAGCATATATATATGTTCTGAGGTAGGGGAATGTTAATTAATAACTGAATTTTATTACTAGATTAGAATTATTTGCTGTTTTTGTCTCATCAGGAATCTGCCACTGGCTATTGCAGTTTCTATGCCCATTGTGACGATTATCTATATTTTGACCAACATAGCTTACTACACAGTACTGGATATTAATGCTGTTCTTTCTAGCGATGCTGTAGCAGTGGTAAGTCAAATATATACCATGGTGCTGTATTAACATTGTAGGTGAAGTGCCTCGTTACTCATGTCTAATGTTCCCGCTAATCTTTTCTATCCATGTGTGGAATTATTTTTTTTTTTTTTATGAACACCAAGGCATGTGCGAATGCCCACCACCAGTAGAAACAAAAAGCCTAGCTGTAGGTGCTCTGCTAATCAGCTGGGTGTCATTTAAATCTCTTCTGAGTGACCACACAAGCTCACAGTTTACAGGCAAAACTGTTCATGTCCCTTCTTGTGCCACATGTATTTACCCTAAATCTAGAGGAGAAGACCAGTTGAATAATTTATCCTAATACTTAAATCTAATTTTAAACACACACATTGTGAATGATCATATTATGTATTGGTTTCTTTTAACTTAATAGCAGTCTCATTTAAAACTATCGCATTATCCAAGCCACTAGCATATTTTGCAAAGATGCGTACTAGATGTATTCTCCTTGATGTATTTAAAGAACAATGATTAGGAATAAATAGGATAAACAGGAATCATTAATACTTAGCATAACAATGAGTAAGTACGTGCTGTTGTCTTTAATAACTTTAAATGTGTTTGAAAGATGTTGTACTGAGCTACTAATTAATCTGTCTTCAATGTGAAGTAACTTTCTGTTTTGCAAATAGATGTTACAATTTAGCCATGCTGATATTTGTACTTTTCTATAAGTTTTAGCATTCATTGCATTCTAGCTCTACTAAACTTGTATCAATTCTTACAATTCTCCTATAAAACAGAAGTATAAAATTTTAAAAAAGCTTGAATTTGAACGATTGGATGCTCATTTGTGTGTGTTTATTTTTAAAGTACAGGCAGTCCCCGGGTTACGTACAAGATAGGGACTGTAGGTTTGTTCTTAAGTTGAATCTGTATGTAAGTCAGAACTGGCATCCAGATTCAACCGCGGTTGAAACTGATCAGTTTCAGCAGTGGCTGACGCCAGTTCCGACTTACATACAGATTCAACTTAAGAACAAACCTACAGTCCCTATCTTGTACGTAACCCGGGGACTGCCTGTACTTTAAAAATAAACACACACAAATGAGCATCCAATCGTTCAAATTCAAGCTTTTTTAAAATTTTATACTTCTGTTTTATAGGAGAATTGTAAGAATTGATACAAGTTTAGTAGAGCTAGAATGCAATGAATGCTAAAACTTATAGAAAAGTACAAATATCAGCATGGCTAAATTGTAACATCTATTTGCAAAACAGAAAGTTACTTCACATTGAAGACAGATTAATTAGTAGCTCAGTACAACATCTTTCAAACACATTTAAAGTTATTAAAGACAACAGCACGTACTTACTCATTGTTATGCTAAGTATTAATGATTCCTGTTTATCCTATTTATTCCTAATCATTGTTCTTTAAATACATCAAGGAGAATACATCTAGTACGCATCTTTGCAAAATATGCTAGTGGCTTGGATAATGCGATAGTTTTAAATGAGACTGCTATTAAGTTAAAAGAAACCAATACATAATATGATCATTCACAATGTGTGTGTTTAAAATTAGATTTAAGTATTAGGATAAATTATTCAACTGGTCTTCTCCTCTAGATTTAGGGTAAATACATGTGGCACAAGAAGGGACATGAACAGTTTTGCCTGTAAACTGTGAGCTTGTGTGGTCACTCAGAAGAGATTTAAATGACACCCAGCTGATTAGCAGAGCACCTACAGCTAGGCTTTTTGTTTCTACTGGTGGTGGGCATTCGCACATGCCTTGGTGTTCATAAAAAAAAAAAAAATAATTCCACACATGGATAGAAAAGATTAGCGGGAACATTAGAAAGTCTGGGACTGCCTGTACCCTAAATTTTATTCAGTAATTCACCTAATGTCCGTGATATGATTTCTTACAGATACAAGTGTTCTGTATTTTGATTATTGGGTTGGTAATGTTACAAGGAAACCTCATTCAGTAAGTTGTATGACAGTACAATCTTAATCAACTCTAAAACATAGCAAACTAAGCTCTAGATAGAGATGGGTGAGTTTCAGAGAGTCATTTACAAAGGATAGTGTTGGCTTTGATGAACTTCAGTGGTTTGCATAATAGCAAATATATTCCAGTGATTTAAAATTACCTTGGACTGAGTAGATAAGCTACCCAGAATAAAACTAAAATAAAGCAGTGGCTCCTTCCTCCCCTGCTACAGCCTTCTAAAACTAATTTCTGTATGATTTGGAAGATGGTCTCTAATTCTGTTTTCACAGTATTTCTTTTCAGAAGGCATCACTAAGTGGTTTTAATTTCTACTCTATATTTGATTTGGGGAATCTTTATATGGTGTTTTCTGTAGTTCGGCACTGTTAGGACCTGACCAGTGCCAAATTAGAGACATTTCTGAACCAGGGAAAGTGAATGCAGAGAGCCAGTAGGGGTCTGTGTGGGGGGAGGAGGGGTGCTGCAGCATCTCTAGATTTTTGTGTCCAGCATACAGGTCCCAATTGCCTACCGGTGCAAATCCCAACCCACCTCCCCACCACCCCCGGGTCCCAGCAGCTGCCTGTGGCTCCTGGCTGGGACCTGCCGCCTCCTGCTTGGTCTGTCAGGTGGCAGGGAGCTGGGGCCAGCAGTTGTGACTTACCACTGGGACCCACGGTTGGTAAAGAGATGGGGCTGGCGGCTGGGACCCTGGGGACCTACTGCCAGTGGATGGCAGGGACCCTTTGGCAGCTGGGGGTAGGGACTAAAACCCAAGACTGGCCCATCAGCAGCTGGGAACCATGGGTAGCCAGGAGTTGGGGCTAGCAGCTCAGGACCCAGGAAAGGGATTGGCACCTGAGCGCAACCAGGACCTGGAGCAGTGGCTGGCACTTGTCACCAGCAGCTGAGGGCCATGTATAGCTGGCTTCTGGGACCAGCAAACCAAAGCCCAGGTGAGGAGTTGGGACCTGACCTGGGCCTCCGTGTGGCAGTGCAGCTGGGTCACTGGTATACAGCCTGAGAGTGCTGCAGCACTCCCAGCATTCCTGTTTCCTGAGTCTAGGAGTCTCTGGAGGGCAAATAAACTCAACAACGCTTGCAATGAAATATTGTTATACAATTTTACTGTATTAGCTCAAGGAAAAAGTACCACTAGATAAAGCATAAGAAACAAAGTAATATGAAAAAGAAATAGATAATAATGCAGTGCGGGTATATTGATATTGATAATTCATTCATCTAAAATGATGCCTGAATTCCATTTCCAAAGTGATATGATAATAACTGCTAAGTCATATTACATCTGTGGTCTCTGCTTCAGGTATAAGGAATAGATTAAGTGGAGGCACCAGGACTTCTTACTGTAGAGAGCTGCTCACTGCTCCACTTGGCTACCTTTTAACCAGTCATCCAGCTTGTCTTGTCTCATGTACCTTCGTTTTCCTTTAATGAGCTTTTCTATTATTATGTAGACCAAGGGTGGCTGAAATGCGGCTCACACAAAATTTAACATTTTAGTAAATGGTCTGTTAATATTTCTCGTCTATTACTAATTTTCATTTGCCTGTTGCATATGTTTAAATCTGTACCCTAGTGCTGAATGTGAGCCAATCAGTTAAATGATTAACTGGTCATTAGTAGCCAATCAGTGGACTAGATAACTCTGTCCAGTATTCTACAACAGAACCATTCGCGTACCTTATTTAAAAAAGTCCATCTTCCTTTTCACATTTTGCTGGTGAGATGTTTGGCAGTGTCCAACATTTTCTTTTTAGTCTGCAACATGTGGTAATCTTCTTTCAACATGGAAGGAAAAGGTAAACTCCTGACCTCACCACTAGACCTCCCTGTCCCTGGGTTCTGTGGTCCAGCAACATCCATGGTCCTGCCAGACCACAGATGGTGCTGGATCAGAGAGTCTCTGTTTAGGGAGGTACAACTTGTAGTAGGTTTGTACATATTCTTGTTGTTTGGACTCTGTCTAATGGTTATATTCTTTCTGCCTTGAGAGATGGAAAGAGTTCACGATAGGGGTATGGCTAAGTAGTTAGCAGTTATGTAATTATGCCCAAGAAGTCCTTTGATCCAACAGGTCTGAATAGTTAGCTGGTTCTGGATTGCTCTTTGGGTTTGAGCCTAGTTTCAGAAATTATTGCTTTCATTAGAGAGTCTTTGGTCTTTCTTGTGAGTAGGGCAGCCAGGTCTTCTAAGAATTTGGGGTGCTGTCTACTTCTAAGAGAAGGAAGCAAAGTGGTTGCAAGAATGTCAGCTTCCTGCTTCCTTGCTGGGTGCGGCCATGCCTTCAGTTTTTCCCTTTATGCTTGTGTTAAGGACTTGAGAAACTGAAGATTTTCAGTTATACAAAATCTTTGTATCTGGTCCTATGAGCATAAGGTTGATGGGGCATAAATCTGGATCTAGTGAGCTGAGATCCCTGGAATAGACATGCTTTTCTTAGAGCTGCCTTATCTCCTATTAAACAGGAACATGGATCAAGGGGAGGCTCTGGAAGGGAAAGGCTGTGTATGCTAGTAGTTATCCTATTGGGCTCACTATTTCTGAAGTTCCCTTTCCATTATGACTTTCTTTGACACCCCCTAATCCCTGACCACGAGCTTTCTATTTGCTACCCGAAATACACAAACCTGGAAATCCCAGATGACCCATCATCTCAAGCATTGGCACACTTCCAACAGGATTACCTGGCAATATTGACTCTCTCCTCAGACCCTATGCTACCAGCACTACTAGCTACCTCCGCAACACCACTGACTTCCTGAGGAAACTTCAAAACATTAGTAATCTATCTGAAAATACCATCCTGGCCACTATGGACATAGAAGCCCTTTACACCAACATTCCACATGAAGACTGGATACAGGCCATCAGGAACACCATCCCCATTGACAGCACTGCACACCTGATTACAAAACTCTGCAACTTTGTCCTCACCCACAACTACTTCCGATTCGGAGACCATTTGGATCTTTATGTCAGCAGCACAGCCATGGGCACCCACATGGC